TGGCACAGGACCAGGCAGTGTTTCATTCTGTTGTACGTAGGGTCGCTATGAGTCAGAACCGACTCGTCGGCACCTAACAACAACAACCACAATAAAAAGAAATGCATATAATGTGTGTTAGAATAGGAGTCAAAATCTGCATGGTTTGGGGGTGAATCTGCCAAACACCTAGGCTAATATAGCAACTGCCATTAAGCATCAAAATTAGTTCTGAGCTTCCTGGTAGCCAAAGCAAAAAAAAGAAGGCTCAGAGTTGAACACTGGAGCAAAGTGTAGCTTGTTGTTTGTGGACTGGGAATCTCTGAGCCCCCGTCAGATCTCCTCAGGAGGCTCCTGCTTCACACTGTGCTCAGTCCTGGGTTTGTCACTCTAATGATCTCCTCCTCTTGCTTTCTCTGTCCTGCCACCAGCAGGATCCACAGTCCTTGGGCAGTACCCCTACCTAGCCCTCCTTGCTCTGTGCCCTTGGGGCAGTTTCTTCATCTGGAAATTAAAGGGGTTGAGCAAATCCTTTCCAGTTCTAACATTTCCTGATTATAAAGAAAGTGCTCTGTGTTTTTGTTCTTTCTCCATATGTAGTTCCACTTGAAAACCCTTTTCCTCCCGAGGTCAAACGAAATCCCCACCCTATCAATTTAATGTTTCTGCTTCCTGCCTAAGAGGCATGAAATCACAGCCTGCCACCTGATATTAAAGGTCATTCTCCATCAATTTGTAGATCGTGATGTCCAGATAACTTATGACTTAAAACATATGGTCACTGGCTCCCCTATTAGATCAGTCTCTGGACTGTCATGGATTGGTCTGGGAAATAAGGAGGCTGGTCTGGTCATTAGACAGAGAGCGATGTTCAGAGAGCTGGCCTGGCACAGTGGCCTGTGACTCCTGGTGAATCTTTCCCGGGAGAGAACATGTTCCCTAAATGGACATTTTTCTCAGGGAAAAGCAAGTGCTACCTAAACAGGTGTAGCTGCTGTAAGCCCAGCCTGCTGAAAATCATATTAACTTTCATGTGTTCCTGCCATAATTACATTTTTTTCTTTACTAGTGTCTTTATTCATTATTTAAAACAGCTTTCAAAAATACACAGTAACTTTTTACCTTCCTGTATCAGGTTTTCAGCTCTTTATCCATGTGTGTCTGTACTTACTACAGCACTGTCATCAGAGTTTAGATATTATGGGCAAAGTGTGTGATGCTGGTGTTCTCAGCAATTTCTAAACAAGGAGTAGAATTCCCTTTGGGGCACTGTTCACATGGCCCAGGACTTGTTTGGAAAGCCCACATTATATAGTTTATTCTCAACACATAAACAATCTTGTATTTTCCTTTCTAACTTAGCATAATTTCATGCATGCTTTTCCATGTAGCTATATAATCTTCGAATTTATCATTTTATTGGCTGCTTAATATTCCATCCATTTAACGCGCCATAATTTACTTAACTGTTCCCTATTGTTGGGGCCTTAATGAAAATTGGAATTCACCTTGTAATACAGGGAGAATCTCATTTTAATGATTACCATTATAACATCCCCTGTCCCAACTGCATGCCATTACTAACTCTGCGCCGGTAACATGCAAATGCTTTTGAAACAATAAATCCTGTGTGAGAGGTGCGTTCACAAGTCCCTCTGATTTAATAGCTAATCTGTTCACTGCACGTTTTCCTTTTAGTCTGGTATTTATGTAGACTATCAGCCTCGTCTGAATATTGTGTACTGCTAAACTGGATGCATGGGGCATATTATGCTAGGTGCTTTATCACTGTTATCAGGGACTTTCATAAATTAACTGGCATTTGGGGGATAAAGAGTGGTTTCTGGCTGTCAGTTCTCATTCATTTACCCCACCCACATTCACTAAGGATCTGTTTACAGCTAGGCTCCTAGCATGAGCAAGGCAGGCAGAAGGTACTCCTGATCATTGGGAGCCCTCAGAAGAACATCTGTGAGGCACTTTGTGGTGCACTTACAGTAAATGGTGATTCACATAAAAAGAGCTTTGTAAACTGTAGAGTGCACGTTAGGGGTTGCTGGTCCTGCTTGTGAAGTAGGATGAAGAGGAAGTCGGTTTTCCCGGATCGTGGCCTTACCAGCTGCACTCCTGAAATCCTCTCCTTGGAATTCTCCAAAGGCAAAAGGCTAGACTGTGCTCCTCAGAACCACAGCAAGAGTGGTGAGGATGAAGATGACCCTGCAGAGCAGGAAAGGTCAGGTCAGGTGGTTTGGTGATTTACAAAGTTGCCAACAGTACTTTACATTTGGCCTTCACCTTACAGTGACAAAGTCCTACCTTTTTATAGCTCTTCCCTTCTCTTTTCCTCTTCCTTCCTCAGTATAAAGAGAAGCATAATCCTCAAAAGTTAGATCCACTGAAGTTGTGTTTTGCCAAAGTATGAGGCACCTTCTCACCGGGGGCTTGATTTTTGGTGTCCTGAGAACCGTGCAGTGAGAAAGTTTTTCCTTTGACTTCTCTCCCTAGAAAAAAACAAACCAAACCAGTTGCTGTCAAGTCAGTTTTGATTCATGGCAACCCCGTGTGTGTCAGAGTAGAACTGCAGTCCATAGGGTTTTCAGTGGCTCATTTTTGGCAGTATATCACTAGACCTTTCTTTCGAGGCATCTCTAGGTCTACTCAAACTTCCAGCCTTTCAGTTAGCAGCCAAGCTCATTAACTGTATCACCCAGGGACTCCTCTCTCCAGAGAGAGACAGAGACACAAAGAATGTCTCGTAGTTGCCAAAGAAAGTGTCTTAAGTTTGGTAGTTTCCCCCGTCAGCCTGCCAACACTTGCTGATCTCTTTTCAGCGGAGAGAAGGCAGGCCTTGGGCTGGGCCTCCCAGGAGACAGTAGTCCCTGGCTAGTTGGTTTTGTACTCATGTGTTTCTTTTTATATTTATCATCTTATTTGTTTTGGCAAAGACTAATGCTTTATGGGGTGGTGATATAAAGTTTCCTTTTTAAAATGAGTTTATTTAATTTTAAAAGTGAGGCAACATATACAGAAATGGTAAATAGTAGCACAGGTGGTACTCGGAAACAGCAATAGTAAGGAAGGCGGTATGCAGCTAAGTGACATCGGGAGACATTGCAATAAAGTTATTTAATGCAAATACAAAGATCAATGCTATAGCATTCAGTTTTATCAGGCGTGTGTGCAGGGTAGGATTTTTGTTATCCCTTTGAGCTGGCCTGGGGTCATAAAGCCCAGCCTAAGAGCAATGTTCTTGTTGGAAAAGGATGACACCATTCATTTGTCAGCTGCTCCTGCTGAAGACATATAACTCCTGTATGCTCCCAGCATATGCCATTGGAACTCTGGTTTTAGGAATGCTCAAGATGAAGTTTAAGCACTTTGCTCTCATGGCCCTCTGTTGGTCTAACCCTTGTGGTTTCAAGTCTCGCCTCCGCTGTCACCTCCGTGGGCCTGGTGCTCCAGCAAACATGGGCAGGGACCTGTCCTTTCGCTGCCTTGCCTTGCTTGCCCTGGCCCTGCCCTTCCTGGAGTGCCCTTTCCTCTCCGTTTCCCCCTTGTCCGAGTGTTCAGCTCGAATGCCTTCTCTTTTTCCTTCTGCCCTGCCGCTCACAGGGCACAGAGCCCCCTTTGCCACCTTGTGTTATGGTGGTGTAGATATGTGCAGTAGGAGTCCTGGTGGCATGGTGGTTAAGCACCCGGCTGCTAACCGAAAGGTCGGCAGTTCAAATCCACCAGCCGCTCTGAGGGAGAAAGATGTGACAGCTTGCTTCTGTAAAGATTAAAAAAAACCAAACCCATTGGTGTCGAGTCAATTCCAACTCATAGCGACCCTATAGGGCAAGGTAGAACTGCCCTATAGAGTTTCCAAGGAGTGCCTGGTGGGTTTGAACTGCCAACCTTTTGGTTAGCAGCCGTAGCTCTTAACCGCTACGCCACAAGGGTTTCCTCCGTAAAGATTACAGCCTTGGAAACCCTATGGGGCAGTTCTACTCTGCCCTTTAGGGTCACTGTAAGTTGGAATAGACTCAACGGCAGTGGGTTTTAGGCAAGTATGTATCTCTTCTGGCAACAGTGGGCCTCCTAAGAGCAGACCCTGCAGCCAACTCCCTGCCTTCCTCAGCCCCCAGTACAGAACCTGGTGCACAGTAGGTTTTCATAATCCAGGCAAATAAAGTTTACCTGTTTGACTAGAAAGTACCTGGTTTTAGCATTCTAGCCACCCGTCTCTAGCTACCACTGGAATGATCAGCGGCTGGGATGAGTGTCTCCTTGCTGTCTGGGGCCTCGTCTAGACAGGCAGTTACCCCTCAGCCCACACCGGAGCTGGCCATGGCATCCTTTCCAGAAGATTATGAGCCTTTCCTTCCTTATTCAAAAATGAAACCTGACAGCTGCTGTGAAATCCCTCAGATGTCCTCAGTCTGATAGGAAGCTGGCAGGCCGAGGGGAGGGGGAGGTAGAGAGGCATGAAAGGGGTCACTCAGGGTTTAGGGGGAGAAAATAGCACCCTCAGGTCTGCTGGGGAGCTCTTTGCTTTCAGTTCTTTTAATTGAATCTGGGGGCTAGGTGGGAACTTGAGGATCATTTGGTCCAATCTCCTCAGTTTACAGACAGAAAATGAAAGTCCGGAGAGTGCGGGGAACTGCCCTAGTGGGGACACCCTCACTTTTCTGGAAAGCAAGCAGGGAGAGCGCTGTGTGCCTGGGTTGATCTCAGAACACACAGGAACATCACTTCTGAGGCCTGTCCTTTAAGACTGAGATTAACTAATGGAAGGAGGCATTGAGACTTCCTGTTCTGCCGTGAGGTGTGAGAGTCTGCGATCTGTGTGAGCAAGCCTGGCCTAGTGAGAGCAGAACAGTGCCTCGGGGGCAGACGGGCAGTAAGCAGAAAGAAGCCTGTCCTCACCTCCATAACTGCTGAGCTCTGAACTCCTGCGGGTGCTACCTAGCAGAGATCCGAGACGAGCAAGTGTGTGCTTCACATCATTACATTTCTGCTTCCTTCCTCTTTGCCTGCAGAATTTCAGAGGCAGGAAAGCGTCCGGTCTGAGCACAAAAGCATCCAACTATATGACACCCCTTATGAACCAGATGGCCAGAGTGTCGACTCCGACTCTGAGAGCGCGGTCAGCCTCCGGCTGCGGGAGAGCAAGCTGCCCCAGGATGACGACAGGCCCGCTGACGAGTACGACCAACCGTGGGAGTGGAACCGAGTCACCATCCCAGCTCTGGCAGGTAAGGAGCCAGTGGCCCCACTCAGAGGCAGCTGGCTGACCTGCACTCAGTACTCACCTTGGATCAAGGCAGTGAGTACGGAGGGCCCAGCTGGCCCTCAGGACAAACTCTGAGGGTTGACTCTATAATCCAGTTGTTGTTGTTAGATGCTCTGGAGTCCATTCTGACTCATAGTGACCCCATATGACAGAGTAGAACTGCCCCATAGGGTTTTCTAGGCTATAATCTTTATGGGAGCAGATCTCCTGTGGAGCTGCTGGGTGGGTTTGAACCAGGAACCTTTGGGTTAGCAGCTGAGCACTCAGCCCTTGCACCACCAGGGCTCCTTATAATCCAGTTGAGCTATTACTTTTTCCTAGTACAATTGGGCCCCTCTAAATGAGATTCTTTTTTTTTTTTTTTTTTTTAAAGATGGATATCAGTTTCAGAGATGATGAGGGTCCCAGCAGAAAGGGGGAAGTGGGGGAAGGGAGGCCAAGCCAAGCAGAAATTCTGGGTCTGGGTTCCAATCTCCCCAGTCTTCAGAGCTGTGCCAGGTGCCCTTGTTGTCTGACTCTGTCTTGGTCCTGTTGCTGTGTTCTAGCTCATAAAGCCAGGATTTCAGATTTCCAAAAGAACTTTCTAAGAGACTTAAGAGAAAGCTAGTCTGCAGAACAGCTCCTATTGGGCCTATGGAGGCCAGTGATTCGGTCCTGTCCTGCATAGCCTCCAGGGCCGCCGCGTTTCCTGCCCAGCTGCCACAGGAGCCCCTTGCAGAACAGACACATGTATAATCTCAGGGGCTGAGCCAGCCCCTCCCCTTATCCTAGAGAGTCCCTGCAAGGACCCAGTGCCTCCTCTCTTCCTCACACTAAGACTGTTTTCTAGAATCGGGGTATCCAGTCCCAGTGTCCAAACTCCTTTCCCACAGGCCTTTCGGGAAGCAGTCTGGCCACATGGGTCACAAGCCTTAGGCTTATGTTCACACCCTCTGATTCTAATTCCATCCCTTAGACTCTCTGCCAAGGCTATGATCTGAAACTTAGAAAAGGCACTGTTTATGGTCATGAAAAACCAGGAACAACCTGAATGCCTAGCAGTCAGAATTGGTTGGATTTTTGTGCATCCGTGTGGTGGAATATTGTGCAGCATTCAAAAGTGATGTTTACAAAGTGCTTATAAGAACCGAGGGAAGTGCTTACGTTTAATGTTAAGAGGCAAAAAGCCAGCTGCAGATTATTTTTTAATGCATTTAAGGGTCCACACATGCAAAACAAGAAGACATTGAGCAACTCATTTAATGCTTACCACATTGAAGGTCAAAAAGGGAAAGGTTTTATTTTTAAATTGTTTAAAATTCATTTGCCTTAAATCTCCCCTTTTTTCATGCACAACTAGACCTTTCCCCCTCTCTAACCCCAACAGTGAGGCCTCTGCCCTGCTCTGCCCTGCCCCCTCCCCAGCCCCCTCCCCAAACCCCTTAATTGGCCTTCTAGTGACAACAATATTCTACTCCCTGGACATAGCATGCTCTGTGCTAGTCCCATTCTTTCCACCTCAAATACTCTTCCTGGACGTATCCCAAATGGCAAACTCCTGTGCCTCCTTCAAGGCCCAGCTCAAATGCTGCTCTCTCCATGAGCCCCCACTGGTACATAGCCATGCATCCTGCAGGCTTCCTTGCAGCATCTCAGGGCCTGTTGAGTTTCCTGTACATGTGACTGGTGGAACACTCCTCACACCATGTCAGTTAGTTTTGTAGGTGTTGCCTCGCCTGCCAGGCTATGAGCGCCTCAAGGACACCTTGTCTCACCATATTCCAGCGCCTGACCAAGAGTCAGAACAGTCATGTGGCTGAAGGCCCTTGGCCACCTCAAGTCTCTCCCATGCATTTTACAGCCTCCTGTCTTCCCCTGTGGGAGAAAGATGTGGCAGTCTTGCTTCTGTAAAGATTTACAGCCTTAGAAACCCTACAGGGCAGTTCTGCTCTGTCCTATGGGGTCGCTGTGAGTCGGAATCAACTTGACGGCAACGGGTTTGATCTCATTCGTCTCTTCCCCTGGCACAAGGGAAACCAAGAACTGTCCTCTACCATGGCTAATCAGAGGCTGTGCTCCCCTCAGGTGGGTGTGAGATGAGGCACTCTTTGCAAACACTAATTTGATTATAGGGCTGGAGGGCCTGTGACGTGAGATAGTACTCCAGGCTGGTGTGAGTATCAGCCTCCTCTGGAGTGGCCACTTTCACATCACTCAAGGGCTCTTGCTGCCTTTGATACTAGTCTAGGCTGGCGCCTTGTTGCTGAAAGGGTGGTCCCTGGACTGGCAGCATGGGCCTCACCTGGAGCTCGTTAGAAATGCCGGTTCTCAGGACCCTTCCAGACCTGCAGAGTCAGAATCTGCTTTAGCAAGCTCCCCAGGTGATTCGTGTTCAAGTGAGAAACACTCACCCTACAGGCTATCATCACTTCATACGGCGCTCAGGCCAGAACTCGCCCACTTTTGTCCAAGGGTGGTTTTAGAAGGTCTCTTTAGAAAGGTAGAACTGCCTCAGAATGCGTTTCTGAGCCCACAAGATCCATTTGGACCTGGATTTAGATCACTGAGTTGCTCCCACCGGTGTCATTACAGGTCTGATACTAGGCTCAGTGTCAGGGATGGATTACCCAATAAGCAAGGTATGCATGGGCTTACCTGTGTGTAAGCCCGTGCATACCCTGCTTACTGCTTAATCCTCCCCTGCTCAACATCGTGTCCACATCTGTGTCTCATCAAGTTGCTTAATCTTTTTGTGTCCTCCTCCAGGGCACGTACCGGTTGTGCTTGCCTGGAGAAGCTTGTAACTCAGTTCAGATTCCTAGGGCATAAAAGGGGGAGGCTATCTCAGTCAGGGGCTGGAGGGATTCTGTGGTTACCAGCCTTTAGTCATGACCACAGGCAGGCCACTCCCCATGACTGTGGACAGTCTTCTGGATGCAAGTGAGAAGCACGCTTATTATTTCCTGTGCCCTAAGTGAAGATAGAAGGAGCGTTGATGGCACAATGGCTGCTAACCAAAAGGTCCGTGGTTCATACCCACAAGCTGCTCTTCAGGAGACAAGACCGGGCAATTTGCTCTCCTAAGGATTACAGCCTGGGAAACCCTATGGGGCAGTTCTACCTTGTCACATGGGGTCGCTGTGAGTCAGAATTGACTCAAAGGCAACAACAAAACGAGTAGAGATGGAGTGAGAGGTGGATGGGCCACCTTTCAGGTAATGAGGACAAGTTAAAGAAGCTGGATGGGATTGCTAAACCCCGTATCACAGTGCAGCTGCTCAGGAATGGAGGAGGACGTTCCCACCCGACTTGGAATTGTGTGTGCATATGTGCACATGTGTGCACGCATTTAAACAAGTTGTTGGTGTTGTCGGCGAGCAAGGCAGTGCCTGGCTAGGCCCCATCCTCCTTGTCAAGTGCCTGTTGGAAATTCCCCACATGGTTTTCTCTATTCCCTTGAGCTCTCTGCAATGAGTTCTGGAAGCCTTGGGTGCAGGATCCGTAGCTGGGAAACGTCTGTGTGAGATGAAGTTGGTTGGGTATATTTGTTTTCATTTCTTTTCACCCCTCAGATTCCCTGGATGAGAAAACCTGGATAGAGAACTTTTTCAGTGTTTTCAAATTTCTAAAGGGCTGTGGTGGGTCAAAGGTGTGGAGTATGGCCTGGGAGACCCCAAAGGACAGAGCTGGGCCCACCAAAGGGGGAGTCACAGGGAATTAAGATCAGGTAAATTGTAAGAATTCCACTTAGCCCTGAATATATCCTAATGAGTTCCCCATCACTGGAGGTGTGCAAGCAGATTGGTTGTGGCAGGATGGATAACAGTGGGCTTCACCCAGCAGTAGGGCTGGCCTGTGGTGACCTCCAGGCCACTTCCATGCTTCATTCCATCAGGAGCCCAGTGTGCTGGCCAGAGGTGGGAAAAAGGGAGGACCTTTGAATTACCTAGATGATTCCATCTATGAAGCACAAGTGCCTTTCACCTTCGAAAGTGCTGTCCTGTGTTGCATTTGTGAAAGAGGCCTTTCTCAAAGGGACATTGTGGTGTTCCCCAGGGAAGTAGCCCTCCTTGTCTGTGCTCCTACGTGCCCTGGCTCGGCCAGTGCCTCCAGAATAGCCTTCATGGAAGTCGGCCACGTACGCTTCCCTTCTAGGTCATACTCGGGGGGGCTTGCAGCTTCAGGAAGGTTCGACTGTCACTTCCTATTGTCATGAAAACAGCTATTGCATGGTGTGAGGTGGTCCTAGTTTCTTGAAAATCAAAGTCTTCCCTCTGTCTCCATTCTATGGCCATTAATTAAGGGTTTGAGGAGTGGATGGATGAGAAATACTGTAAGCTCTCTGAAGAGTCCTAGGCCTTTATGGCCTGCCCCCCTGCCCCCCTCCAGAAAGCTGCTCCTGGCCTTCACCAGTGCCCCATCCTACACCAGTTGCCCATGTTGGATCCCAGCCCAGGACAGATGCTGGTCAAGTTTCACAGCTGGCTGTGTGGAGCAGGCTGCAGCCCTCTACCTTCATGGAGAGATGGTGTGGCTCTCATCAAGCTGTTAGCTCCTTCCCAGCCCAGAGAGACACCTGCCTTCCAGAGCTGGCTGGAGTCTGTTCGCGGCGTCCTTTGAATCACCCCCTGGGAGTCTTTATAGCAACAAATTACATGACCAGCAGGTGGGTCTAGAAATGGCTCTCCTGCCCTGCTGCCAGCCCCCACCCTGCCAGATGCAGCTCTGGGGGCACATAAGGCCTGTGTGACCAGGTGAGGAGAAGCCTCAGATAATATCACAGTCTTGGGGCAGCGCAGGCTGGGGTGGAAGGTCTGACCCTTGGGCTTGTCATCTGTGGTGATGACTGGTGCCTCTGTGGCTCTGGACCAAGGCCCTGATTGTGAGATGACAGGTTACACCTCCACAGGAGTAGCCCATATGAGGAGGGGCCCGGGGCAGGGCTGCGGAGCTGGGGTGGATAACCTGGAAAAGCAGACCCAC